TCGGGTAGATTGGCAGTAAAGTTGAGTCACATGCATACCAAGCTGAGGTAAACTGAATGCTTTTTCCCAATTGCATTGGTAATTGTATTGTAAATTTTCCTACTTTTTATTTAACATGTGGAGCTAATCAGTGGCGGACCCAGAAAGTCAGAGCCACGGGGTCCCTACCCTTTTATTTCTTTTTTTTCTTTTTTTTACTCCAGGGAGGTCTGGGGGAGGGGGGGCGGGGAGGGGTCTGGAGTCCTGGAGTAATCAGGTCTGAAACTCACTCCATTGAGTTTCAAACCTTTATGTGCAGTGGCGGAACTAGGGGGGCGAGCCGGTGCCGGCGCTCCCCCTTCTCCGGCGGTGGTTCTGTATGTATATATATGTATATATCTCAGCCCCGGTTCAGAAAGTATTCATATATTAAATTGGAGTCTCTATTTTAGCATATGAGTTGTGATAGTTCAAATGGTAGAGTGGAGGTTGGGACAGCTCTGTCTACCTAAATGGCTCGAGTTCAATTTTCAAGAGCAACAATATTTTTTGCTTTCTCCATTATTGCTTCTTTAGACTTTAGCCCATTTGGTAATTATTTATGTTCAATTAAATCACTCTAGGATGTAATGTTGTTTAAATCACACTTTTTGAATTTCTATATCTTTTATTTTAAATTCTCATTTCTTCAATTCAAATTAATTTTAATCATTTCTTCTTCTAATAATGACATATACGGACGTTGTGTCAAGAATAATTCTAAAACTACTTTAAGTTAATATAAGTATTTACCTTTTATTTAGTATAATAGCATTTTTATTTGAGACACACTACATATACATATATATAGGTTTCGGATCAAATAAAAAGATTTCTTATCGTGAAAATTGATCGAGAATAAATCTTGTGCATTTAACTTCAGATCCGGCGAGTCAAAATCAGTCAACAATGCACTATATTTTATCAAAAACTCGGTGACAATTTGATAAATAAATCAAAATTTTCTATCATTGTGAAAAAGTGTAAAATAAATATCTACTAGTGTACCAAAACGAGTAAAAAATGCGTCCGTTCTCATTTTTCACGGGAATAACTCTTTTTAATAGAACCTCACTCTATATGTATTAATAATTATTTTTCACTCGTTTTTATTATATCATAATAAAAAATTGTTTTTCAAAATAAAATATAAGAGCACCCCCTCAAATTATTGTCTGGTTCCGCCGCTGCTTATGTGCCTAGCGGGTTTCGAACTCGAGACCTCCCACTAAGCATGATAATAATACAAGTATAAAACTAATAAATAAATTGATTCAATTCTTCATTTACTAATGGTGAATCATTTGAATTAACACATGAACTACTCCCGGGACTCTAGGTTTCTTTAAATTTGGGTACAACATCAAAATATCTTTTCATCGTAAATCGTATAAAATTGAAAATAACATTTATAAATACATGAATTTATTAATTTAATCTAACATTAAAAAAAGATATGCAAAGAAAAGCAGCAGAGAAAAAAAAAACTCGGGCGACTGATGTGCTTATATTTTACACACTTTTTAGGCTTAGTTTGTTGATAATTTTAGTTATTAAAGTTGTACTTTTGTACATATTTTTATTATTTGTCGTTAATTTGTATTAGTGCAGTCTTATGCGTGTATTATGTATTTTCTGATACATTTGATGTTATTTGGATACATTTAGCGTGAAGAAATGAAGAAAATAAAAGTTCAAGTTGGAGGATAACAAATGTGAAATTTCCTTCAAAGAAAATAAGGTGTAAATTGCAGAAAAATAGCAAAAATTAAGAATGATGGAGATGAGATTCGAACTCTAGTCATTTAAACAAAGAAAGGCATACTCAACCGATGAGCTAAATGAACCATGTTGAAATCTAGTTGGAAATTCGTATACATTGTTGAAGCCCAGTACTGAAAAAAAGAATAAAAAGAAGAAGTTGGGTTTCAAACCCATGACTTCAATTGTGGAATAAGCGCCCATCACCGCTGCACTGCTCTATTCTTTTGGTGTTAAGGTTGTTTTTTGTGTAAATATACAATGAATAATTAATTTTATATAATATATATATAGGTATTTTTTTCGAGGTGCACGGGGTCCCGGGACCCCTTGGGACCCTTAGTGGGTCCGCCTCTGGAGCTAATATGCCTTGGAAGTAACATTTAGTAATCGGATTTCAAAACATAGGATCTAGTATTGCATTTCCATTTTTCCTTTTCATTTCTCTGATTTTGCTATGATCTTAATCTACTCACAAATTTGAGTCATTCTTCATGTACATGCGTTTTTTACCCGTCAGTCCATAATTTAAAAAAAATCTATTTTTTGTCGAATTACATGTGTACACGAGCAAAATAGGGTGACGTTTTAAAAAGCTTATACAAGTGATGTGTACCGATCATTTTTCCTATAAATTTATATAAGAGAAACTCTTCCTCGTGAGTCGTGAAAGACTCTCAATCTATCTAAACTCATATTTTGTCTTGTACAAAAGAAAAATTGATGTCACCAATCAAGTTTGAACTGGACCATGGTAGCCATGTAAATATGTAATGTTGAAGAAACAAAGTATGGAGTACTTTTTTCTTGTACAATACCAATTAAAATTTGATTATACTCCTGTTTATTCATAATATTTTTGCGATTAAATCATCGTCAAGACTCATTTATGTGATGGTTCAATCTATATCTACTTTATTGTTCCACTAGCACTTTTATGTGGAGGTTAAGTTGTCGTCAAGACTCATTATATATGTAATTTACACAAGTTTTTCTCATCCTTGTTTATGAACACCGAGTGATTTGAAAGTACTACTTACGGAGTAGTTAAAATACTTGATGTGCTCAATTAAGATTCCATGGCAACCACTATACTCCGTATTTGTTATTGTTAACATCCAAACCTTGATTTAGACATTTAGTTGATTTCAGTAGACTTATGTAAGACATTTCAAGACATTTATGTATTATTTATTTTACGTATTTGGAAAAAGTGTGAAGCTTTCCTGTAAGGTATCAGTCTATCAGATGGTTGCAAATTTCCATAAAAATATGTAGACTATCTCATATGTATTTGAGTTTTTTTTATATACATCTTACTGGAGTTGTCATATACTCATATTGAGAGAGGGATGGTGGTGAGACATAAGGCAGTGTCAGGGCCGACACCGTTGATGCAAGCTTTGCGGAGAGATTTTCTGAAACATAACAATTCGCATCCAATCCAACCATTGTCTTCACTCTGGTGAGATTTCTCCCTCTACGACCATATCAACCTATAGATAATGTTCCTGAAGATCAACTTCGTTTACAAGAGTTCAATGATACTGGATTCAAAGTTAATGGGGTGCATTATGATGGTAACTTGCTAATGTCTTAGAGTCCCAATAAATTTTCTGATGCAACTCCTAAGAGCTTAGCCATCTTCCAAACCCACCCGCTGAGTGCCAAAGATTCTCATTATTGGTTGCGGGATGCACATTTATCAAGTAAACTTTGAGGTCCGAAAGTTTATTCGTTCTACTGGAATGAAATTTGCGACAATTGACTCGAGAAATGCAGAAGTTTTCAGCTGTGAGAAGGGTTATACATAGTGGCATCACGCATATCGCACAATGGTCACTCCTCACATCTGTGGAACGATAAGGAAAATAGATGAAACTGTCGTTCTTGATTTCTCCTTCTTTGCCTTGATGAATTTCAAATATCACGTAACCGGTGGTGAGATTTGAGAATTAGATTTGTGCTTTATTTGGGCTTGTAAGTTTCAATAAGACAAGGTTCTAAAATACAATACTTATCTTAGTCCAATATGAACACCTATACATTTGGAGATTTATAAAATGTTCTAGAATGTCTTAACCAAGATTTCATAAATCTAAAATGTATTACAATGTCTAGAATGAATACACCCCTAAACATACCTCATATCATTTACTCTATATGATACTAAACTATTCTTATGATAGTTCAACTACTTTTCCATCTCAATATCAATTCCATAATCAATTTTCTTAGAAATGTGCACCAACTCCTAATATATCAATCAAATCACTCGATTGGAGGTATTAACTAGTATTTCAAGAATTTCTTTAAAAATGTAACGTGAATAAGACTTTGTGTTGTTTACCATATGTTATCTTAAAAAAGGAATATTGATTGGATAAAATTGGTCAAGGTTAGAGAGTTTGTATACCGGTGGACATAGCTCAACTGGTAGCGAGGGACTGCCACAAGGATTAGGTCCCGGATTCGAATCCTGACAACTGCATGAGGAGTTACTATGCCAAAATGCATAGGGTCTCTGCAAGTACCGGAGACAGAGCCTCACTCTCTATAGAATACACAACACTCTCCTTCATGTATGTATTTAACCTCGTGACCGACATCTTTTAAAACTATGTATTGCGTAAGCGGTAAGCTCGCGGTAAATTTTATTACTACGCATTTCATTTCAAAACAAATTTTAGCATTTTAATTCGAAGATGCATTTTTTATGATTAAAAAATACAGTCTCAATTCGAAGATCATATCATAATTCATAGATATGAATCCTCAATTTGTTCAGGTAATATTTGTAGAAGAATTAATATGACAGTGGTTCTTATTTGTAGGAGAGTAATTAAGTTGGGAAGAAAAGATGGAATTGAATAAAATCCCGCTATCACTGTCCCATCCGTTATGATTGTCCCATTTTATCTTATCGGTCCGTTATACTAAGATTGTCTCATACCAAATTTGATAAGTTTGTGTGACTTTAAATCATTTTTACTTTATTCTTATTTTATCAATTGAATATAAATCACATAAAACACTTTTTATTGATTTGCGTGTCACTCTCTATTGAAATTATTTTGGTTGGAGTGAGTCAGATTTAAATTGAAATTATTTAATTAAATTTAAAACGATTCTTGGCCTCCAAGTAAAGACAGATCGAATTTTGATTTACCAGATCACTGATTCTTTGCCTTCAAATCTCTGCATAATCTATTCATTTTCTCAGTATAATTTCTCCAGATCGAATCCATAGCAAATCCTCCCTCCACAATGTCTATGCTTCTCGGCCCTCCGGAAGTCCACACCACCACTTCTTCCGCCGCCGCGCCACCGGAGTCTGATGTGGCCGACTCCTTCATGCATCTGATGCTGAAAAAATTCAACTCCGCCGGCAAATGTGTCATCGGAAAGCCGGTGATGGGGAAGACGGCGAACCAATCGCACACCTACCTCTCCACCGGAAATCCATGCTTAGACTTCTTCTTTCACGTGGTCCCGGACACACCCGCTAAGAACGAAAAAGCCAGCTATGGCATGTACATGGATCAGAATCATCGCACGATCGAAGATATGCTTCAAAGGTCGTGGAGTCACAATCCCTTGACGACGCTCAAACTCATCTGTAATCTCCGGGGAGTCGGCGGCACCGGGAAATCGGACAAGGAAGCATTCTACGCGTCCGCGTTGTGGCTTCACTCGCACCACCCCAAATCCCTAGCTTGCAATTTGGGGGAAATTGCGAGATTCGGGTACCTCAAGGACTTCCTGGAGATTCTCTACCGTATACTCGAAGGCGGAGACGTTCGCAAGCGTCAAAAGGAGCAGTTAGAGTGGCAGAGGGAAATGAAGAACGTCAAGTACATACGTTTTCGCGGGAAGAAGAAGAAGCTTAACAAGAAGCAACAGAAGAAGAAGAGGATGCTTTTGACGGAGGACCAAAAGGAAGCAAAGAAATTGACGATCCAGAATAGGATGGAAGAGGAGAAGGCGAATGCGAAGTTCAAACGGGAATCGAAGAGGATCGAGAAGGCTAAAAAGGTTATCGAGAGATACAAACGCGACGCGGATTTCAGATACTTCCACGATCGAGTCTCAGATCTCTTCGCGCAGTTTCTTAAGAGGGATTTGGAAACCCTAAAACAGGGGTCTTCTCCGAACCTCCTCAGCCAGGCCGCGATGTGGTGCCCTTCACTCGACTCATCCTTCGATAGGTCCACTCTGTTATGCGAAAGCATTGCCAGAAAGCTTTTCCCTAAAGAAAACCACCATGAATATCAGGGAATTGAGGATTCACAGTACGCCTACCGCGTGAGGGATCGTTTGAGGAAGGAAGTCCTCGTCCCTCTCCGTGATGCTCTCAAATCGCCGGAGGTCTCAAAAGATTGGGGCATTCTCCTCCCCCACCAGATCGTTGAATCACTGTCTGATGACGACGGAGGTGCGCTTGCGGATTCAAGGTGGAACCGAATGGTGAATGGCTTGAGCAACAACGGAGAAAAGAAGATGAAGAACTGTCTCGCAGTATGCGATGTGTCGGAGTCCATGGAGGGGGCTCCGTTACAGGCGTGTTTGGCTCTCGGCCTCCTAGTCTCGGAATTGAGCGAGGAGCCATGGAAGGGGAAGCTGATCACCTTCAGTGATCAACCACGGCTTCACACCATCAAGGGCAACAACCTTCTATCCAAGGTAGACTTCGTGAAAAATATGAAACTAGTCCGGACCAAAGATTTCCAGAAGGTGATTGACATGATCCTGGAAGTGGCTGTGAACGGAAATCTGAGAGAGGACCAGATGATAAAGAGGCTGTTTGTGTTCAGCGACATGGAGTTCGACGAAACGCCATCGTTTACCCCGCAGACGGATTACCAGGCGATTGAGAGGAAGTTCAGGGAGAAGGGGTACTGGAACTGTGTGCCGGAGATTGTATTCTGGAACTTGAAAGACTCAAAATCGACGCCAGTTTTGGGGAATCAGAAAGGGGTGGCTTTGGTTAGTGGGCATTCACAAAGGGTGATGAAGGTGTTTCTGGATAAAGAGGTCATTACACATCCTCTTGCAGTCACGGAGTTTGCCATTTCAGGAGATGAGTACCAAAATCTCGCGGTGATTGATTAACTGAACAAGAACATCCGATTATGGGTTTTGGTGAAATACGTAGTATGAAACAAACAGAATTTCAGAGACATGTTTTGGTTAATAGTATAAAGCATTTTCTTCCTACCTTTCGGTTACTCATGATTCATGAACAAAAGGGCATATTCATATCATGATTATCATCATATGTTTTGCTTATTAGATTGTAGCGGATTTAATGTAGTTTCTGAATATGTAAATTTAATTTACTAAAAATAATCTGAGTGTGAACAGGAATGAAATCGCTTTATCGTCAGTCAAACATCGTAAATCGAACTACGAAAATAAATATGGGACGGAGGGGGTAGTATTTTCTATCTTTAGCCGGCCTGATTGATCCCAGGTGCTATTACAGTATTATACTCCGTACGTACGTAGTATTAAAGTAGATATTGGTTACTCTATTCGTGCGTTTCTTAAGAGTGAAGCACATACATTATACTACGTAGTTAAGATGCAATTTTACAAAAATTAAAAAAAAATTGACAATGATCCAACTAATTGAGAGCATTAAATTGAATTTCAAAGATGACATCATTATCATTATCATAACAAACTAAGAAATAGGCCGTACAACTGCATGTAACTCGATAAATTGTCAAGAAAATTACAAATTATTATAATATTCCATGTATCCAACATTCAAGGCAAACACGTGTGATCATCAAGTTCATTTTCATCACATATCACAAACATCATATCAAATCGAATTGTTACTCTCAAGACCTACACGTACACATGTCAATGTATAAGAACATGCGAACAGAGGAACTTGTCAACTCATTTGAACAATTGTACTGTGCTCTTATTAATGATCATTGCACACCTAACCACTAATAGAAACTCTATGCACTGATAATTTAATGAGAGTCTAACGTCTCATGGTGTTAAAGTTAGTAGGAATAATGATGTTTTTAATTGGACTACAATTTTATGGTTTTATCTAGTCAGGTCAGGTCTAATATGTTTAAATATGGTCTGGTCTAATCTAGAATATGTTCATGACTTTATTCTATGTATTTTACAACTATTGAGGTTGGTCTAATCTAATTTGATGTGGTCTCATTTAATCTATTTAAGTCGGATCTAGGACTGAAATCAATCTAATTAAAAACCCGTGATGAAATTTTTACTTGTACTTCCTCAGAGCATCATTTTATACTTCATAATATGAACTCTAAATTTAGTCACCACGAGTTATGTGCAATTACACAATCCAGATGAGAGATTTATATTCCTATAAGTATCACAGTCACCCTCTTTTTCGTTTTAGCCCATGACCTAGAGAATTCGGACATTTAATTCTTTTAAGAAACTCACTATATGAGTTAGATAAGTCTTTAAATCTAAATCTATGATTAGGGTAAGAGCAGCTTTGGAATAAATACATAACCGAGTCACTCTGTGTTAAGAAGTTAGGATAAATACCATATGTATATCATTTAGGAATTTACTCGAAATATGAGTAAAAAAATTTAAAATTCCAAAATAATAGAAGTACTATGCATGTTTTATTTTATAAATAAGAGTAATTACCACCAATCCACCATGCTTGGAAAAAACTGCCAACTATGACAACATATTGTCATGCTTAAAGCGTGATAGTGTGATACTATGAAATTAATTTTTTAGGATAACACTAACATACTCCTATTTGGTGAATAAACATACCATCTATGTCCCAAAAAAATGTCATCTAGTAAAGTTTCAACCATGATTTTGATAAGTATAATAGTTGAAGTCCCACACCGCTAAATTAAGATGTAATAATGTGATATATTAAGAGTCTAGGTTAGCAATGAACAGTTTTATATTACACACTTTTTCAATAAAAATATGAAGTTGGTCGATGTTTTAAAGATGACAAAGTTTTTAGATATAGGGATAGCAGTATTCATTTTTTTGGAAGTTTACATTGTTTTGGAAATCTACTGATACTAAAAACAGAGAGAAGAATAAAAAACTCCACAAAATGATCAGCAAAAACGTGCATCTTAATTGTTTTACAACAAATAATTAAAATGATATCAGCAAAGACGTGCATCTTAATTGTTTTACAACAAATAATCACCAAATCAGTATCAATTTTGTGAAGCTTAAAAGAAATTCATTTTTTGAGACGGTCATTGATATCAATTTTAGTTCAATTTTAATTAGCAATTTTACTGGATTAATTTTTAGGACTATATAATCAACAAACCAAACAAAATGTATAACTTTTTTTTCATTTATATGAACTTTTTTGCATGTATATCATATATAATATATTTAACACGTACACATATGTATATATAGCATATATATCAATAGATTTTGGATCACATAAAATCATTCATTCCCATGAAAAGTAAGAACTAATGTCTAATTCTTTAATAATGAAAAACTATGACCCCGATGGAGGGGTATTGTTGTCCTTGCCGCCTTCCGTTTTTTCACATCCCCTGCTTGGTAAGTGTATTCATTTAACATCTTGATTAATAACATTCCATTTTAATTTTCTCCGCACCTGCATATGTACAACATACCGAGTATATAGCTATACTAGCAGGGCGGCACGTGTTGCGCGTGAATCGTGCCCAACGGTGGAATTAAAGACAAAAAGTTATGGGGAATAGCAGTTTAAAACATAAAGAGGAAGTAGTAAGTTAATCACTTAGATAAATCTTATCATTGTTTATCTAAGCCTACCTTAGTATCCAAATTGGTCAGTGTGTCATTATTGGCTCCTAAACCAGCATCAAAAGAGCCTGGGATAGAATTTTCCTCATAGACAGTTTCAAGAGTAGTATCAAGTGCAACACTAAACTGCAATATACTTTTATATTTGACAGAATTTCAAACATTTCAAAAAATTAAACTGCCTGTATTCAGTAGCTCTATTAACAGAGTGGCTTTATCGAAGCAACTTTACCGTAGCTAGGTCAAAAAGAATCTTACTTTGAGAAAAAAACTCAACAACGAGACAAGTATCTGGACCACAAATAATGCTTATGTAGTTATGTTTAAAAGTAACAATAAAAAGGCCCAACTGCTTAAGAACTAAGACCAAGCCATGTTGTAGAAAAAGGACCATGCATATGTGTTTCCAGTGAAGCCAACCCATGCAGACGATTATAAAAAGAGAAAGATAATGTGTTTTCACTCATAAAAGGGGGGGAGGGGGAGGGGGAAGCAATTAATAACCATACATATTTGGAAGAAGACTATTTCAGAGAGTACTCAAAATACCTAGAATACAACCAAAAAGTACTGAAGGGAATAATGTTAATGGAAAAGACAGTGAACTAACAATATATTTGAGAAAAATGCAGCTAGTGTGAAAAGAAAATGCTGAAAACAGTGAGAGTTCTTGAGGTAAGAGCATGCAGAGACACATTACATATGTTGAGCACTTCAATGACTTCCATGAACAACACACACAGAAGTTATGAAAGTAAAAAAAATCAAAAGAGCATTTTCCCATAAATATTTTTTGTAGATAAACGAATTGTAAGCACAAGTGTTGTAGAAAGATAGCATACCTGTAGCATCATGTGGGAGAATATGTTTTGAGAGAAGCTTATTCATCTTGAACATGTCAGTGTTGGCTGTTTCAAAGACTAAGCGGAAGGCATCATCACAGATGACTTTTCTTTTATTCCCAGGATCCCAATAGGTTGTGCTTCCTCATGCATGCACACAACTGCTTCACAATCTGCGTTGGAAAAGGACATGTTAGTACTTATTACTCTGATCAACGTTTACCTTCAAATGAGGACCCAACCTCAGTTCTAGGGAGTGCGGGTTGGCCAATAATAGCCTCAACCCCCGTGCTCCCCTTCTTATGTTGGTCACACCAGGAGTAGCATTACTGAAATCAAATAAACAAGATACTTTACGAATGGAAAAAGAAGAAAAATGATCCTTGCTTTTTTTATGAGAAACTCAATAGCCTTTTTTATTTTACATAACACTGCTAACTATACGCCAGTGTCAAGTTTTGTAAATAAAAAAAGAAAAATGATCTTGGCATTAACAAATACAAATAAAATCACATAGGTACAAGAGATCACATACTTAAATTAAAGAAAAGATGACAAACAATTCTAGATGCCACACCTGCAAATCCCCTACATTGGAGGATTTGGAGCCACTTGTCAGTGGAATGTATAAATAAACTTTTGGTACTTTTTCAAAAGTGCTTGTACTTGAAATCATTTTTTTAAATTGAACTAAAATTAGAAATGCTATAAATTAATGATTCTTAAGATTACTTTAAAAAAGCACCTCAAAAAACATATTTTCAAAAGCACCCATGCATAGCTGGTTTTCAAAATCCAACTTCACCCTTATTTCTATATACACTTTTGATTAAAAGGGTCAAACGAACACATAAAGAAATTGAGACATGTATTGCTTTCTATATAACATTAGTCACATTACCGAGAAAAACTAATTCAAAGAATGGGAGAACTTGATCTTACAAGAAAATTGAGAAGAGCAGTCAGCAATAGGCAATCCTTTTGTCGATGCAACATGAGAGGCGGACAAATTAGCTAAGCCAGAAACGGTAAAAACCAACTGAAGTTTCCACTCAAATAATGATTTAATAACCTCATTTTTTAATTAAAAAAGGCCACCAAAATTACAAAATCTCATCAATAAAGCATAAATTACAAGAGCATAAACAAGATGATAAAAAGAAGCACTCATTCAGATATTTATCACAAGTTATCAAACTGTTGACGAAGAGAGTAAATTGAACCGGACGAATCAAAACGCCCAAAAGACCCACTAAACCAGATGTAACAGTGCATGCCTGCAGTACAGAATCCCTAGAGGGGACTTCTTTTAGCAGAATACATCTTAAGGATCTATGAACAAAGAACTCACACTACACAATAAATTGGGAATGAGTCTTGGTAAAAATCTGCAGGAATTTCAGATACTTTCCACCATTAATGCTCAAAGCAACTTAAAAACCATAAAAGTTTGAATTTTCAAAGCCAACAGAAATAAAAAGCATAAAGCTCAAAATGAACTTACATGAAGTGCAAGAATCGCTGAGGTGTGCGTAAGCTGAAGGCAACCTCCACCTAGAATCATTAAGTTAACTAAATGCATACACACATAACAACTACTTATGGTGAATATATTGAAGGATTTCCATGTGTTTGGAACTCTGGGAGAGACATAGCCCCTGAAATTAAATTACACCAAGACTATTTCACAAGTTTGTTTTGTACATTTTTTATCACATAAAAATGGTCCGATAAT